ACTGCATTTCCTACTCTTTACTAAGAATATTTGTATTTCTTTTCCTCAGAGGGACATTCTTTTTTTTTTTTTTTCCTGGAGCGATAGCACAGTGGTAGGGCGTTTGCCTTGCAGGCAGCCAGCCCGGCCAAGCCGGTTCGATACCTCTGCCCCTCTCGGAGAGCCCGGCAAGCTACCAAGAGTATCTCACCCACATGGCAGAGTCTGGCAAGCTACCCGTGATGTATTCAATATGCCAAACACAGTAACAACAAGTCTCAAAAAAAATGGAGACATTACTGGACCCACTCGAGCAAATCGATGAACAACGGGAGGACAGTGGACAGTGGACAGTGGACCACCCTTTACTATGAAGGGCACGTGAGTGAGTAAATTAAGGAGCTTTATGTTTCTTTACTCTCACATGTGCCTGCCAAGACTTGGTCCTGAATGTCTGGTGAAGGTTTTCAGATGAAATTCCCCTTACATCTGGAGATGCAAAGGAAGGGTCATTGTTTGACACATTCTGTTCAGAGTTGGTGATCTGTGGCGGCTTCCAACCCTCCCTGCAAAGGGGGACGTTGACGTTCTTGGTGCTGTTGGCGATCCTTTCCCCGTGATAGCCGTGAATCCTGTCTATAGGGCTGGCTTTAACAATCAATTTTTGTGTGTTTTGTCATTTCTCTCGCTTGTTCTTTACTGATTTCTGCACTTTTAGCTCCCCGTTTTGGACCTTCGCTCTGCCCTTTCTGTCCGCTTTCTGAGTTGAATGTTTGTTGCATGCACAAAGATGAATTTTGGCCCCCGGCATCTGTGAGACCCCACCTTCTCTCTCCGGAGGCCTGCCCTCACTGCTTTCTTTAGGATTTAGTTCTCAATATTTTGTCTTTATGTGGCTTCAGAGAGAAAATAACAAGCAGTATGTCAAAAAAAATAAATTTGACACACCATGTTTTTCCTGCCTGCCTCCACCCGGGGTTTTTTCCCCATTAACTGGTGAGGGCTCTCTGATTCTTATGAATATAGTATGAGTGGCTTCTATTTCTGCATAGACTTATTTAAATCATGATACTTATTCCCATGACAACCGAAACTACACAATTTAGAAAGCTAGCTGAGACAGAACCTGCTTTCTAAATAATTCTCCTTCTGTTCCATTTCTTTGCCAAAACACCCCTATGTATAATGATTTCCTAAAGAGCTAAGACTCTTTTCTCTGTAATTGTACACTTGTTTTTCCATCATTCTGTGAGAATCGTTTTTTGTCAAACAGAGGTATCCAGAGGAACAGGAAAATACTCGTTTACCAAAACATCCTGTGTATCACGTACAGAGCCGCATCCTGAGTTTAAATTGCTTGGTGATAGACACAAAGTAAGGGTTAAGGAGGACCTCGAGATGAGTATCTCTGTATCTGCGGGGCCAGCCTGCTTTAATTTGGATATTAGTGACAGTGTGATGTCAGGCAGTTCGTCCCACTCCCGCCGGGTTTCCGGGAGTTGGGAGGAGGAGTGCGTGCCAGGTCTGAGAGCCGGACCGTCTGAGCAGCAAACGACAGTTGTTTTCCTCTTGGATAATGACCATTATGCGACTTGCAATTTTATTGGAGCACCGGATCGATTCCATAAAAACGTGTGCAGAGCTCTGTGATTTATAGGGCTAATAAACCCTCCGCACCTCGCCCGTGCACACTTCCTCTTGTTCGAGAAAGCAGAGGTCAGCGCACGCTCCTTCATACAAAGGAGGGACGGCGACCAGCAGGCGTCACCGCTTGCTAGCGTGTGTGTATGTGTGTGTGTGTGCGTGTGTGCACCCGCGTGTGCGTGAGTGCATGTGCGCGTGTGTGTGCGTGTATAAATGTGCGTGTGCATGAGTGCGTGTGTGCGTGTGGGGGAGTGCCATCTGGTCTCTCCAGCCCCCAGCCATTCCTGCGCCCACACACTTCACTCTGGCCTGAGGTGCCCTCACCCCTACCTGCTGGGTTCCCGCTGAGCCCTGCATCCCGCTGCCTCTGGGGCCCGGACTCCCAGCCTGTCGTCCTAAAGGGGGCGCTGTTCTCCCCAGGCCGGCCCTCTGCACGCTGGCTCTGCAGAAGCACCTTTGCCTGGGTCTTGGGGTGTGTGTGATGAGGGATGGCCAAAACCGGCCTCCTTAGGCGTGGCTCTGGTCTAGGAAGAAACAGCAGTGGCTGGTCAGCGGGGACCGAGCCATACCGGTGCTTCCCCTGGGGGAGGCCTGCAGGGGGTCTTAATCTGCCCTTGGCAGAAACAGGTTCCCACAGCTGCACCTGGAGCTGGCACACGGGAGGGAGGGGCTGAGGCTGATAGCAGATGTCCTTCCGGGGAAGATGGTCACCGAGGGCTGGGGCCCTCTGAAATGGACCCACTCAAGCTCAGGCGAGGCCAGCTTGCCCCTGCAGGCTGCTCGGAGGCTGCATCCGGGTCGCATGGCCACAGGTGCGGCTGTGGGCTCCCACCTCTGCAGTGCGCTGCCCTCTGCCCCACCCCGCACAGCAGGGCCAAGCCCGCACCCAGGGAGGGGAGGGCGTGTCTGTCCGCCTGGACCGGGGGCTGCCCCATGACTGCTCCAGCCTCCACAGGACCCGCAAAGGCATCAGGATACCCGTCTCAGACCAGGGGACGAGCCCAAACACGGTCACACTGTGCTCACCAGTAAGGCCCTCCCGTTGTTCATCGATTTGCTCGAGCGGGCCCAGTAACGTCTCCATTGGAGACTTCTTGTTACTGTGTTTGGCATATCGAATACGTCACAGGGAGCTTGCCAGGTTCTGCCGTGTGGGCGAGATACTCTCGGTAGCTTGCCGGACTCTCCGAGAGGGGTGGAGGAATCGAACTCGGGTCGGCCATGTTGGCTGCGTGCAAGGCAAACACCCAACCACTGTGCAGTAGCCACACACAATAATAATAATAATAATAATAATAATAATAGTAATAATAAATAATTCTCCTCATGCTTCTCCTCCTCCTCCTCCTCCTCCTTCTTCTTCTTCTTCTTTTTCTACTTCCTTCTTCTTCTTTTTCTTCTTCTTCTTCTTCTTCTTCTTCTTCTTCTTCTTCTTCTTCCTTCTCCTTCTTCCTTCTTCTTCCTCCTCCTCTTCTTTCTTTTCTCTTCTTCCTTCTTTTTCTCCTTTTCCTTCTTCTCCATCTCTTCCTCCTCTTACTCCTCCTACTTCTCCATGGTGCCTATGCTCAGGGACACTCTTGGCAGTGCCCGAAGACCAGATGGTATGCTGGGGATTGAGCTTGGGTCTGCCGCAACAAGGCAAATGCCCACCCTGCCAAACTACCGCTCCAGCTCCATAAATGCTCCTCGCCTCCAGTGCCTGGGTGTGGCTGCCCAGGGCCCCACCGGAGGCGCCTGCTGGCTACAGGCTATGCCTGTTTCGTTTGACCTCCCCAAGTGCCCCTTCTACCTTGGCAGGACCTAAATCCACTTCCTAGTGTCGTGAGGGATTGAGATGTTCCACTCTCTTCTCTGACGCCCGGCTGCCCCCACCACGCTCTCCAACCTCTGCCCATCTCACCTTGAGGCCAGTGAAACCCAGCACCTCTGAGGAGTTAGAAGGTTTTCTATCAAATTGCAGAGCTGTCTGGTAGTTCTCCTAACGCTCCGCAGGAGGGTCTGCAGTGTGGCTTGGGATTGGAACAGTTGCCTCACGTGTGTGAGGCCCAGGTGTGATTCCTGACACAGTTTGTGAAAAATTTGAAGTGGCCAGACCCTCCTAAGAAAGAAAACTCACGGGGCTGGAGCGATAGCACAGCAGAGAGGGCGTGTGCCTTGCACACAGCCCACCCGTGTTCAATCCCCAGCATCCCATATGGTCCCCCGAGCACTGCCTGGAGTAATTCCTGAGTGCAGAGCCAGGAGTAACCTCTGAGCATTGCTAGGAGTGACCCAAAAAGCAAAAGAGAAAGGAAGGAAGGAGGGAGGGAGGGAGGGAAGGAAGGAAGGAAGGAAGGAAGGAAGGAAGGAAGGAAGGAAGGAAGGGAAAGGAAGGGAGAGCCTTAAGAAAACCAGGATACTTTTGTAACACGTGTGTCAAATTTACATATGTCCACTTTTGGGGGGAGGGGGTGCACCCAACAGTGCTCAGTGGCCACTCCAGGCTCAGGGTCTGAGGGGTCCTTCTGGCCATGCTTGCAGGACTGGGCGGTGCAGGGGGCAGGGCCTGGGGTTCCGGCCTGTGGAGCCTTCGCTGCCGCTTCCCTCCCCAGACCCCGCACACCATCTGCTGCAAAACACTCGATTCCATAGGCCAGTCCTGTCTGCTAAACTGGCCAGAGGGGCAGCTCTGTCCAGGGCCAGGGGGTGGCCTGCCTCAGGATAGACCATGAGTTCTGTGCACGCCGCTATGCCCCAGCCCCAGGCTGAGTTTCCCTCCGGGCTGGCTGGGTGTATTTTCTTGTTTGGGGTTTTAATTTTCTGGCTGACCGGTTGTTCTTTCCTCTGGAGTGGCAGTGGATGGTGACCCTCAGGGAGCGACACCCTGTACCCCCACAGGTAGGAGCCCTGTCTGGGCTCTTAGGGAAGGAGGTTTCGGCTTGGTTTGGCTTTACGGGCCTCTGAGTCCAGTGAGTAGGAATCCGAATGTGTGGTCACTCAGACACAGGTTTTGTTGGGGAAATGGGGCCACAGGCCCTTGAGTTTCCAGAAGGATGCGGTGTACGAGTGGGTTGAAGGGTTGGATGCTGCATGATGACTCTTGCTATAGTGATCTATCTAAACACTCCCTCCTCCTTCCGTGTTCCCCACCTGCCTGCCAATAATATTCGGGTGTTTTTATAGAAATTTTTTAATTAGCAATAATGGAAATTAGGGCTGGAGTGATAGCATAGCAGTAGGGCGTTTGCCTTGCACGCAGCCAGCCCAGCTGGGCCAGGTTCGATTCCTCCGCCCCTCTCAGAGAGCCTGGCAAGCTCCCCGTGGCGTATTCGATATGCCAAACACAGTAACAAGAAGTCTCACAATGGAGACGTTACTGGGCCCGCTCGAGCAAATCGATGAACAACGAGAGGACAGTGTTTTATGGAAATTACTGCGAAGCCAAGGACAAGCCCCCAGCAATCAGGATCAAGGTCAATGCGCTGTCAGTGGGTTTGAGGCTGGCCGAGCCTGGCAGGAGCATTGTCGGGCAGAGGCAGGGACGATGGCTCTCACCTCCCCACCCGCCTCTCTCTGCCCCCACGTCCTTCACTTGAGTTACAGTCAGGCATGCGGTGAGGGCAGCTGGGCCTGGCCGGTGTTGGCCCACGGATGGGTCTCTGGACAGCGTTACAGGAAGTTCATAAAACTGACAGGAGATTTGGGCACAGGGGTCCCAGTGCTCACTGGGGCGTCCATGCTGCGCACAGGGCTGACCACGGGCATCCCAGTCGAACTGACCAACCCGTGAGGCTGCCGTGAGGAGTACTTGGGTGGCCTGTGTCCAGGCAGGTCAGCACTGGCCCCGAGCCCAGCTGCCTTCACAGGAGTCTGTGAGAATCTGTCCGTATCTGGTGTCTCTTCCCTGCAGAGCCACCTAAGGCTGGGGAGCAAAGGCCTGGGAACAGCGAACGTGGCTGATCTCACAGTTTCCTGCGGAACTGGGTGGGCTCGGCACAGAGATGCCCCCACACCCTGTCCTGGCCGCTCTTCCCAGAGGACGAGTGCTTGGGAGTCAGGAGCATCGAGTTCATGCCCAGGGTGGGTCTGTGGGTGGGAAGGATAGAAGGGCCAGACAGGGTGACCGGCCCAGCGCACACACACACACACACACACACACACACACACACACACACACAGAGTCATACACACACTCATGCATACTCACACTCACAATTCACACACAGCCACACACACATATTCACACACACTCGTGCAGTCACACATGCTCATATACTCACACATAGCCACACACACTCACACTCACACTCACATGCACACACACATTTACACAAACTCTCACTCACACACATACTCATGTGCTCCCACACACACTCTCCCAGCTACACTCACACATAGTCACACACACACACACACACACACACACACACACACACACAGACACCAACCTTGCTTCCAGCCTGTCTGTGGCCCCTGTGGGCCCTTCCGTCCCCCTGGCATGGGGCAGAAGGGCGAGGCTCTGAGGCTCACTCAGGTGAGAGAGCCCAGGGGCGGCTGTTCTGAGCCCAGGGCCCATGAGAAGTGGGGCACCCGCTCCTGGCGGGGGGTGGGAGCTGACAACTCCGTGGGACGACCCAGGCCCAGGCCTGGCTCCCGCGTTCTCAGCCCCCTACACACCCGGCTGACTGCGGCTCGACACAGAGCCTCCCCAGGCCAGGGGTCCCGGCAAGGCTTGCGCGGCTGCTCAGGGCCCGGTGCCCGCCAGGCTGTCTCCAGGGGGTCTTGGGCATGCAGGGTGGCCAGCTTCCTCAGGACCTTCCTGCAGCAGGTGCGTCTGCATGTCCGGGCGGGTGCCGGTCAGTCAGTTTGTCCTGCCTCCAGCCAAGCCACAGCACCCGCCTGCTACCAGAAGGTTCAAGCTTGCCCCCTGCCCCCTGCCCCCTTCCCCCTTCCCCCTTCCCCCTTCCCCCTTCCCCCTGTCCCCTGCCCCCTGCGGGTTCTGCAGCAGAGACAACGGCTCGGGCAGCACCAGGCTCGTGTCCACCTTGCCAGGTGCGGGCAGGGCCTCTCGAGGCGGGCAGTGCAGCGGGAGGGGCAGAGGCCGGGCACAGGCGGGGGCCTCCGAGCGTGGCCCCTCCTGCCGCAGGGCCCCTGCACACGCGTGCCCGCCTGCACACGCAGGGAACGGCCTGTGGCATGAGGGGCCGCAGCAAACATCACCCCCGAGGCGGCCACCTGCACTTCACCCTCTCCGGACGCCGGTGTTTCCTCTCGCTCAATCCCGGCCGTGCTCTGTTCCCTTTTCTGGTTCCCGCTTATTGTCCAAGTGGCTCTCGCTGGCGGTTGGCCTCTGAGACATGAGGGTGAGTCTCCCCAGCTGTGGTCTGGCCGCGTGAAGTTGAACTGCCCAGAGCACATCGCCCTCTTGCTGGGGACCTGCCCCCACATGGGTCTTCTCTGCATACCTGCCTGCCCCGGTGCCATGCAGTGGCTCCAACCCGAACTCCCACGGGACACCCTGGGCGGCTCTCAGCCAGCAGAGGCTGGAGGGGCTGCAGGTCAGCACGTGGGAGTGGCAGGAAGTGGCCACAAGCTCCCAGGGTCCCTGCCCTGCCCCTCCCTGACCACGAAACCACACTCTCCCCCTGACCCTCACAGCAACACCAGCCCCTCCCGTCCACGTCATTCAAGAGCCATGTGTGTGTGTCATGGTGGGAGGGGCCATCAGGGGAATTCACTCGCAGGCACAGCCGGGAGCTCAGGCCGGCACCAGGCCAATGGCTACTGTCCATTTCTGCCTCAAACGACCCGGGCTAGGCATGCCGCTGAGTTTGTTTGTTTGTTTGTTTGTTTAAATTGGGGTTGGGGTTGATTATTTTAACATCCCGGAGATGATGTTACTATATATTTTTGTCGTAAGCTTTTATTTATAGTTGAGTATTCAAAGACATTTTCGAAGTTTTCAGCGCCTTTCGAAACACCAAGTGAATATTTGTTACTTATTAAAGTAATCGCGTTTCAATATAGCAGTATTGGAAATGCAGAAAGGTAAACAGAAGTAAACAACGAACGTTTCTGCTAACACCCAGTTCTGCTCTCGAAAGGCTGGAGTCGGGGATTCCCACCCAGACTTGGGGACAGGGTGCTCGTCTCTGAAGGGGAGGAGGTAGGGGAAGGAGGAGGAGGAGGAGGAGGAGGAGGAGGAAGGGGTATGATGAGGAGGATGGGGAAGAGGAGGAGAAAAAAAGGAGAAGGAGGAAGAGGAGGAGGAGGAGGAGGAGGAGGAAGAGAGGAGGAGAAGAGGAGCAGGCACGGGGTGCTGTTGGGAGAGGAGGCAGCAGAGGTGTTCTTGGGGGTCCCGTTAGGAAGCGAAACGAGAGGAGGCGCCCTGCTGGCCTGGGCCCCTGTGGCCCCTGGGTGGTCAGCAGGACAGAGAATGCACCCTTGGACTCTGAGGCAAAGCCGTGGCCCCTGGGGGGCAGGGTGGCCTGGCATGCGGGGGGGGGGGGGTGTGGATGAGTGAGCCTGCCCCGAGGGCCTGGGCTGGGGTCAGGCGTGCGGGGGTCCCTTCCTGAGGGGGCAGAACCTGCTGAGAGGCCCCTTGTGGGCCCGGGAGAGGACAGCAGCCTGTGGGGCCAGGTGAGCCCCTGCCCCAACAGCCGAGTGGCCCTTCGCGTCCCCAGTGGTTCCAGCCAGACCCGGGAGCATCTCCCTCTCTGCTTGGCCCGCGGCTTCCGTTCCTTCCAGACTCTTCTGCCTGCTGGGTTCAGGCCGGGGAGGTGCGGCCTGGCGTGAGCCCGGGTGAGGGGCAGGGGGCGTCGGGGTCATTCCATGTCTCTCGTTGCAGCACGCAGACGTGGGACATCGGAATCCTGGACATCTTCGGGTTTGAGGAGCTGCAGAGGAACGAGTTCGAGCAGGTGAGCAAGCCTGTGGGAGTCTGTGTCGGTGTCTGTGGCGAGGAGGTCTGTCCCGTCACCCATCGGGCCCCGTAGGGCATGTGCAGAGACGCTCCACGCTCCACGAGCCCGGCTGCCCGTGTGGGTGGTGGCATCAGCGCAGCTGCTCTGAGCGCTACGGCGGGACGGCGGGGGCAACTCCCAGGGCCGGCAGGCTTGGCGGCCCCTCCTGAGGCGGCACATGATCCCGCCACACAGTGCCAGGGAAGCTTCGGGTCTGTCAGCGTGGTGCTCACCCAGTTGAGTCACCCCTGAAGCCTGTGGGGGGCAGAGGGTGACCCCGAAAGCCCAGGATGAGTGGGGGGCAGGTGGGCCGAGGTGCCGCCGGTTCTACCTGAATGCTCTGGAACGGACTGTGGCAGGTGAGGGTCCCTGACGGGGCCCAACTTCAGGCTCCTGAGGGGACCCCAGCTCCAGGCTCCTGATGGGACCCCAGCTCCAGGCTCCTGAGGGGACCCCAACTCCAGGTTCCTGAGGGGACCCCAGCTCCAGGTTCCTGAGGGGACCCCAACTCCAGGCTCCTGAGGGGACCCCAACTCCAGGTTCCTGAGGGGACCCCAGCTCCAGGCTCCTGAGGGGACCCCAACTCCAGGTTCCTGAGGGGACACCAGCTCCAGGCTCCTAGGGGGACCCCAACTCCAGGCTCCTGAGAGGACACCCCAACTCCAGGCTCCTTAGGGGATCCCAACTCCAGGCTCCTGAGGGGACCCCAACTCCAAGCTCTTGAGGGGACCCCAACTCCAGACTCCTGAGGGGACCCTAACTCCAGGTTCCTGAGGGGACCCCAACTCCAGACTCCTGAGAGGAGACCCCAACTCCAGGTTCCTGAGGGGGACCCCAACTCCAGGCTCCTGAGGGGACCCAATTCCAGGCTCCTGAGGGGACCCCAACTCCAGGTTCCTGGGGGACCCCAACTCCAGGCTCCTGAGGGGACCCCAACTCCAGGCTCCTGAGGGGACCTCAACTCCAGGATCAGCTTGGCCGAGAGGAGAGCCAGGTGAGACTCTCCTCACCTGTGTCCAAGGTCCCTTGCCTCACAGGCCACTCTCGGCTCCCAGGCCCCTGGTTGTGTTTGGGGTGTGGGGAGGGAGTCCCCGTGACTGGTCTGTGTGACATGCCCAACTTCCGTCACTCCACCTGGTGTCTGTCGGCTCTGAGCTGGTCCTGAACATGCTGGTTGCACTAAGCCTAGAGCAGAGCCTGGCTCGCACCCAGGATGCGTCTCCCTGGGCTTGGACTCGTGGACTCGGGACAGCAGGGCAGGGCCCCTCGGCCTGTGCTGGACAGCAAGGAGAGGGAGCCCTTGGCTCTTCGTGCTGCTACATGGGTGGGTGCCGAGGGGTCATCCTGGCTGTGCTCAGGAGACCGTGTGGGGCCGGGGATTCGAACCCGGGTCAGCAGCTTGTAGCCAGGCGCCTGGAGCCCCGTGCTTCCACAGCCCCTCCCACTGCCACCAAGCATCCGAGTGATGGATTTAGAATCTGCTCACAGCCTGCGACGGGCCTGCTGAGAGGAACTGGCGCCGTTTCAAGCCCGAGTCAGAATCTATCAAATAGTGAGTTTAGACACTCGTGGGGAAAATCTCCGAGCAACGGTTCGACTTTAGTTATGAAATATAGAAATGTGTTTTCCAGGACACAGCTTCTGCCCGGCAGTTTTGCTTGGTTATTGTACGCGGGAGGAAGCAGGCGCTCTTGAGGGGGAAGAAGATCCTTCTCATTGTGATGAATCTCCCCTCGGGGCGTGTCCGGGGAAACCCCCCCCCCCAAGTTTGCAGGTGACCTTCCTTAAGGTCACTAGACTCTTGAGTCGCTAACAGAAGGTGAATGTCATATTTGACTTCACTGCCAACTGCCAACGACGCAGTTAGCAAATCAATATTGCGTTCGCAATCAACCCAGAGCCACAGTAGTGGCAGGTGGGGTAAGGGGCTCTTTGCCTCTGCCTGGCCTATTCAGTACCTCTGCACCATTGGCTCTGGTGCCGGGAATCTCTTCGTTTCTCAGTGTCCTCTGTAGGCAACTGGAAAATAAGTTGTGGGTGGAAATGTAAATAAATGGTCAACTCCTAAGAGAAGATCGTCCAGGTGCACTTGTGTGTCTGTGGACAAGCACCCTTTCAGGAACGTGACAGCCGTTGAGAAGGGCCGAGCATGGAGGTGCAGGACAATGTGTGAGGAAGTCCCGAGCACTGCTGGGCCTCGTCGCTCTTGAGTTCTTGGTCCCTGACCACTCATGCTGGGGGCTGAGACCAGTTTCTCCCCTGGGTGCCTTGGGGGCCCCCTCGGGTGTTGGCGGTAGGCCAGGACTTTAGGGGGAGCTTCCTTCTGCTTCCTGCTAGCAGGGCAGCATCCAAAGGCTCCTCCTCCTGTGAGTGGTCTCAGGGTCAACCGAAAGCCAACCTGCAGCAAGGTATAAAGTCTCTCCTCTCGCAGAGATAAGATAGATACACGAGAGGAAGGTGGAGAGCTCAGAAGGTCCAGGCATGGAAGAGCAGCTGTCGTATCACTGCACGCAACACCCAGGTCGCTCCACAACCACAGACACGGGGTCGGCCGGAGCACAGGACTCGGGGACCTCGGGGGACCACTGTGTGAGGGGGTCATGCAGGAAGCACAGGGGAGGGGTCCCAGGTTGGGAAAGAGCTGGGGAACTACTTCAGACACAACTCAGTTCCGCCAAGAGGACACAGTGCTCTCATCCCCTTCACTGCACAGGATGCGGTTCTTTCCAGAACTGTGTTCCGGTGTGATCTGTAGAACGTGTGGAGGTTACCAGGGACGTTGCAGAATGTGAGCGGCTGACCCCCGGGCCCTGCATCCCCGAAAGCATCTCTGCTGTGGACTCGCCCTCCCGGCAGACGTGCCACACCCCTGCCCAGGCCCCTGAGCTGAAGGCATAGCCCCCCTCCAGGGCTCCTGCACCCCTTCTGGGGACCCTGAGCTGAAGGCAGAGTCCCCCCTCTCTAGGGATCCCCCACCCCTGCCTGGGCCCCTGAGCTGCAGGCAGAAAACCCTCCAGGGCTCTCGGCTGCTTGGTCAGCGCTGGAAACTGAGCAGGAAAGGTGACCCCAGACTCGGTGAGACCTGTGGTCTCTGCCTCTGGGAGGCTGGGTCCCCGCTCTGTGGTCACTCTGTGGTCAGCTGGAGTCGGTCCCCACAGCAGTGGCCGCACGAGTCACTGCAGCGTCTGGCAAGCATTGGGAAACGCAGATGTGGGGGTGCAGTCGGCAGGTTCCGGACACCCCCAGATATCGGGGGAGGCTCAGGGGCCTAGGGAGGGAGAGTTTGCTGCTCCCATCCCTATCGCTGTCATCATGTCGTGGCCAAGTTTTGGATACCCAATTGTAGAGAGACCCGGTCCACACACGATCATGCAAATGCAAAGAAACTTTTTTGCTAGCCTGAGCTAGGGTCCGAGTGTCATCCGACACAGTGGAGTCTTGACAAGGATCCCGACTCCAAATCACAAGCAGTTTATATAGGGTTCAGAGGGAGGGAGGGAGGGAGGGAGGGAGAGAGAGAGAGAGAGAGAGAGAGAGAGAGAGAGAGAGAGAGAGAGAGAGAAAGAGTGAGGGGGAAGGAGAAAGAGAGGGAGAGGGAGAGAGAGGAGGAGAGGGAGAGAGGGAGGGATGGAGGGAGAGAGAGAGAAGGAGGGAAAGAGGGAGAGAGAGAAAGGGGGAGAGAGAGAGGGAGAAGGGGAGAGGGAGAGAGTGGGAGAGGGAGGAGAGAGTGGGTGGGTTTGCAAGTGAGTCTCAGGAACTCTGGACAGAGGCGTAGGCTGGGACCCGTCGGAGAAGCCCCAGCCTTGCCCTGAGAGGCCAGAGTGCTCAGCAGGAGTCTTCTGCCATGATCATCACTGGCTCCCCTCGGGGGACTCTCACGAGTGGGTCACGTGCTTCCCCTCTGCCTTCACTGAAAGTAAGGGCCATCCTAGATGCATGTTCTGGCCCAGGTGGGGACCCAGTGGCCATCCCTGCCCGACCCCGACTTCCCGCTGCCCTGTGGACGTTGCCGGAAGAGCCTTTCGTCCAGCCTGTCCAAGCTCTGGTGATCGCAGTGGGCACAGCTGTCGCTGGAAGGCGGTCACTCCAGCAGAAACGAGAGATCCTCCACTGCCTCTCGGCTCACACTCACGAATTAACCGCGGGCCGATTAAACTCAGCTTTGCGACGAAACAAATCCCTCATTTTTTCACTGGAGAGCGAGATACCGCAGGCCAGATCCGGGACGGACATCAGAAGCCGTTGGACGGTGTCCTTTGCCGCCCCGGGCTTGGCTGTTGTGTAATATCACATAAACTCACAAACAGCTTCAGCGCGGATGTCGGCACCAGCCCTCCTTGTGCTTGTACCGCCCGTCCTGGCTACTCTCAGACCTCAGTGTCATGGTAAACGGAGCCGCCGGCTGAGTCTCGGCTCGTCCTTTGTCCTTCCTCCCACCCACCACGACAGAGTGGGAAGCGCCCGGGCTTTATTTCATGTATCTCTGTTGTCTGAGCAACAGAATCCCTCCAAGAAACGCCTGGGGAAGTAGTTTGATGCCTAGAGAAGCAAAACCACCCCCACGGGCAGGGTCTTGTTTGCAGCCGCGACCCTGGGCAAGATTCTGACACTCCATTGGACAGGGAGCGGGGAAGCCCTCTGGGAGGGCGGGGAGGCGACCCTCCCCATGCCAGGAGCATGGCCCACTCTAGCTCTAAGCCCCCGGGGTCAGTGTTCAGTACTCTGCCCAGTGTGAGTGGCTCAGTGAAGAGAGAAAATTCTGGAAGGAGGACCGTGTCCTCCTCCACAAGGAACCGCAGACAGGAGACCCCCCCGGACCCCCCCCACACACACACACACATACACACAACCAGTGGAGAGTTGGAGCAGGTCCAGCATGAGGGGATCGCCAACCCCAAAGCCCACTGCCCTGCCATTTGGGGCAAATCTGTGACCATCAGGGATAATCGATTTGTTGG